ACAGGATGCCAGGTTTCTCTGCTGGAGAATTGTTGCTTTCTCAAACGCACACACTGACACACCCCAGACACACAGTTACAGGCAGGTACATACGCACACAAACACAAACACACACACAGGGACACACTTGACACATCGGGTGTTAGTCATGTGCCTGACTGTGTTTGTATTATTAATAGTATGCTAATGAGGTTCAGAGCAGCACTGTGGCGGGTTAAAGGGAGGTTTTGCTGTGTTGGTTATTTGCTGTGTTGAAATGTCACACATTGATGCTGTGGATGAAAGGAACAGAAGCTTTCCTGGCATGACCACCTTCAGAGGCCAGAAAACCACAAATTTCTATCAGTCGTTATCAGTAGCTGTTTACACACATGCACTGCAGCCCTGAACTTTTCCAGACTTTACCCAACTGAGGTGGCAGTGAGAGCTCCTATCGCAGGATCAGCTAGATCGAACTTTACAGCAGTCGCTGACCTGGCATGTGAAGCCTCATTGTGCCAGGGCGAGCGCCGAACACACCATTTTCTGCTGTGTGATACATGTGAGAAACTCTGGAAAATACCCAGAGGTGATGTGAACAGGTAAAAAAGTGGTGTGACTAAAAAAAAACCTTCCTTGGTCACTGTGGTCACTGTCTAACTTTTAGATTTCCAGTCATTAGTCAACATTTTGAGAGTTATCCGCTCTTCCGTGATGCCCCTGGAGTGCGTGGAGACGCTTGTGTTTGCTCCTTCAGCCAGCAGCAGAACATTTGGTGTGCTTTGCTGAGACACTTCAGAGTTAGAGGTAACAGAAGCAGCTCTAGTGAGTAAATAGAAATGAGGGACTGCAAGGCAGCTGCTTATTCTCTATTTGAGGGCGTGCCAAACGAAAGGCTAGGCGAGCTCTGTGCCAGTGTGTTACATACAGTAGTGACATAGATAAGAAACGGGAGAAACGGCCGGACTGCTAACAAGTGTTTCTGTAGGAGACAGTAACTCCCACTGAAGAGGGCTTTGTTACTTTTTAAACCTTTTATTTTCACAAAAAGCTCCGTAACTAACAGAACGAAAGGACACCCCAAAAAAGAGCATATTACGAACTTTGACTGGAAGAAGACCCAGAAAAAAAGCACCACTGTAAACATAAATGATTTAAAACGATGTAGCAGAGACCTACCACCCTGCTGGACATTGTGCATTAGTTTTGCAACAGAGGATGAGAGAACCGCGACACAAGGCCGTAGAGATTCCTTTCATAAATTTCGTTTCAGTGTCAGAGCTCAACTGGAAATCACTTTCGCCACCTTTGGGATGAATATTGGAAAATATTTTCACATAGAAGGGACACACAACGATAGACATGTAATCACTTGTACCAGTACACAATTCTCAATAACCAGTAGATAGCACTTGTGTACTTTATATAACATGCCTCATTCATCCATTCACACTCAAATGGATGCATCAGAGAGCAACATGGGGTATCTTCCCTAAGAGACTGAAGGAGCCAGTGTTAGGATGCCTGGGTCGTCGACCCAGGGTTTTTGAGTTTTTGATATTATTTATACTTCCTAGTTTTTGGTTTCTTTGAGTTCTGTCTTATGGCTTATGTCTCTGTCTTCTTTAAGTGCTCTGTCTCCCCTATCACCTGCATCCCCTTGTCTAGTTCGCGTCTATGTGTATCCTAAGTTCCTATATCCCCGTGTTCAGTCAGTGTTTGTGTCTGCCCTGTTCCCACGTCTCTGTTCCCTTTGTAGTGCCTGCATATGAGTCTGTGTCTTTGTTCAGTCTGTGTTATGTGTTTCCTGTTTTACTTTGAAAGTCCATGTCTGATGTTAATGTGTCTGGTTTTGCTTCCTCTTGTCTCGTTAGGCCTGATTTGCCCCAGCTGTGTTTCCCTCCTGTTACCCATTCCCTGATTGCTCCCTCTGTGTATTTAAGCCCAGTGTTTCTCTGTGTCGCGATCTACCGTTTACCAAGCTGTGTGTTCTGTCAGTCCGCCGGTATTAGTTTGTTTTTTGATCGTTTCCAGTTATGTTATATTTGAGTTTAACATTAAAACGGATTTTGAGTTTACATCTGTCTCTGGAGTCTGCACCTTGGGTCCTTTTCCTGTCTGCACACAGCCGCACCTAACAGCCAGGGATCAAACCAACAACCTTCTGATTGATAGGTGACCTGCTCTGCCTCCTGAGCTACAGCTACCCCAATACAAGACCAACACATAGTGATGCAGTTAAAGTCAATTGGCATCACTGACATGCTGGTGACGGTCCATTTTTTTTTACTTTGCTAATAGACTGTTAATAGGCTGCTAATTAGCCTACAAACGTCACTACGAGGTATAAAGTAAGCTACGTTACTACATGGGTTTCATTCTCCCTGGCATTTATATAACGGTCTCAAACCCAAACACATTTTGGTGTATGGAAACGTAACCGCTACCTCAAAAGACAGATGTTCATTTCAAGATAAAAACGCAAGATTTCTTATCAGGTAGTCGGGGCGGAGCCTTCGCG